ATGGTGACAATGCAAACAATAAACAATGCCTTGATTATCGTCCATGTTCAACTGTATGGCAAAAATGATACCCTGGCATATGAAATAATCTAAATCTAGGTGATATATATCAAATTTTTTTTGCTTCATTTAAAGGGCCTGTGTTTTTCTTGTATTTTATTTCTTTCTCTAACAAAAACAGTCAAAATTAATTGTTACACACACACACACACATTATATATATATATATATATATATATATATATATATATATATATATATATATATATATATATATATGAAATCTTTTTGACTGGCTGACCTAATTAAAAAAGCAGTACAGACTGAAACTTTTCTTATAACTTCAGCACGAACGGGCAGAGCTAAACTGCTGTAGGCTGAACAAAAGAATATATGTAGATGTGTTGGTTTTTATGACATCATAAAAACAACATTAGAAATGGGCAGTTTTTGCCTGAACAACAGGCTGTTTTGCCATAAACAAGTGAATAATACTTTTACAACAATTTCTCATAACTAGAAATGTTACACACAAGACATAAGTTCTCACTGGCGAGGATATTTTTCAGTCTGTCTAGCATGATTAACTGAATATTTGTGTCCTTTTCTGAGCTTCTGTTATCTATCAGGAGTTGATCTTGATTTGCAGTTTCTGCTGTTAGTCCAGTTTAATTGATCTTTATAGATTACTCAGATTGACAGTTTACAAGTAATTTAGCTCTAAAAACATCCTGATTGAGGCTTTGAAAGGCTTCTCTGTTTAGCAACAGACCTTGAAAATTCCTTGTCGTCATTCCTTCCTGCTAAATGATGCATAAAAAGAACATTTTAGTGAGTAAAAACTGCTACCAGAGCCTGTCTACTGTGTAATGGTACCTTTAATGTGCAATGGTTTGACTGGTTAAAGAAATCTCTTACAAAGACACACAGCGACATGCGCAAACACACACACACACCCACACAGTAACACGATGTTGCTCCTGTAAGGTTAAAATTCACATTAACATCTTCATTCTTGTTCTTCCAGGTTACAGCCTGGGAAATAGGGAGAATAAAAAAAATACACGCAGTCAAAGGTAAACCTATTAGTGCAACAAATGTATCTCTTTGGGCGCCCCCTGGGAAGCATGTGTCTTGGGTGTCAGGCCCTTACAAAGGCGAGGTGTTTGATACAGCAGGAGGCAGAGAAAGCGAGCAGTGAGTCTCCATTATAGTCACACACCCCCTGCAGCAGGCTGGGGGATACATTTCTCAGCCACAACAAAAGGTGTGCTCGGCACTGGGTCGCCTCGCCACCAGCAACTGCTGAACACTGCCCGCTTTCAAAATCCCAACACTTTTTCAGCCTGTGCCCAATTCAAAAGGAGGCTTGAAGCATTAAAAGGGTGAGAAACATTCAGAAGGCTTTAGAGGGGGAAGATCTGTAGTTGTTGCAGCTGCGTAATGTATGTGGAAGGAAAGAAAATACAGCAAAAGTAGAAATAAAGAAAGAGAAAGGAAGACAAATACAAATCTCAATTTCAAAAATGTTGGGGCAGCATGTGAAATGCAAATAAAAACAGAAAGTTATTTGTAAATCTACTTTGAACTGCTTGTAAAACAAAAACAGCACAAAGACAAGTTTTTTTACCTTCTCAACTTCATTGTTCTTTGTACAATGAAATTGTTGCCTGTAACACATTCCAATAAAAGGTGTCATGGGGCAATTTAACAGGAAAAACATTGCAAAATGTTCAGAAAATACCTTAAACCAGTGACAAAATATACTTTAGTATACAAGGAACATCCAGGGAAGTCTCACCGTTCTGCCCAAAAAGTGTCAGTATATGATCCAACAGCTCAACCAGTGCAAAATACAACAAATCAAAAACGCATAATGAAAGAATAGCAAAAAACATCTGCCCTCAAAACTGCATCAATTGGTTTCTTCAGTACTCAAACGATTATTAGGTGCTGTTAAAAGAAAAGGTGATGTAACACAGTCCCAAACTTACCGGAACATGTTGCAGGCATCAAATTTGGAATGAGCATGTATTGACATATTATTAAAAAACAACAAAAATAAAGTTCATGAGGGGAATATTTTGTACTATTTTCAGTTTAATACAGGTGAAACTGAATGTGCTAATCACTGCTTTCCGTTTTTATTAGTATTTCACATACTGTCCCAACGTTTTTGAGGTTTGTATTGTGCACTGTGATCACAACAAGGTTTGTGTTAAAAAATGACTTTCATCAGCTAATCCAAAGAAAGGCAACAAACACATAAATGTGTATAAATATGGCATTTCTCTGCAAATTTGAGTGCACTGCAAACATGCATTATTTCTTATTTGCTGAGCTGAGGACGGAAGTGGTACAACAAGTACACAATACGTGCACATGGGATTAAAATATCTAGGGTTGAAATGATAAGCAATTTTGGAATATTCATAAATTAGGTTACAGTTAATTAAGAAAAACTACCATTTTGTTATTTAAAATCATGTGTTATTTTGCGTGTAGAACAGTTTCCATTTGCGCTAGTGAGGACTACAACTCTTAAGTCTTGACTAAACATTTCAAATAAAATTAAGAAAGACTCACTTCAGATGGCATTTTCATGTCAATTTTATTGACATTACTGATCATTTCTGAAAAATGTATAAGCAGTCCCAGCTTTAAAATGATCAAATGTAATCAGTGATTATAAAATTCAGGAGAGGAGTTTAAGTGGTGTATGTGGTAAGAGCCCACATCTTCCCAAACACAGTACAACACATTCACATGTGTGCTGTGTGCCGCCTCCACATCTGAAGAACAAGGCAGGCCCTGATAAGAATCATCCCTAATAAAAAGGACAAAGCCAAGACATGAGCTGAGCTGAAATGACAAAAAGTCCCTCTTTTCTCACCATTACTGCTTTTAGGATCAAAAAGCAAGTGGCAGTTATCAAATATCCTAATTTATTTCTGAGCTCCAGCTTTCGGTATCATAGACAGCTGTGACCATGGATGGACAGGAATCCAGAAATCCTTTTAGAGATTTATTACCACACATTAAAAAATGAGACCGCAAAAGAGAAAGAGTTCAGAGGTCAAGTGGCATGCAAGAGCAAGATGGATGGGAAAAAAGACAGATTTTTCAGGGGCTCATGTTTCTTAACTATGTGGCTAAGTGTCCTTCTTTGTCTGACATGACTGATGCTTCTTTCCTGACAGAAGTGTATGACATCAGGCCAGCTTGGCATGATTCAGTGCATTGTCCAGTCTCTCTGGAGTCCACTATATTGTGTAGCTGGAAATCGTGTCAGCAGAGCAGGTAGCTAATTTTTACCCCCAAAAGCACGTGCCGGAGACTGCACGACTGCCTACGAGTCCCTATGTCATATGCATGTATAAGCACTTGCTAAACCTAGAACACCTGGCTGCCTCTTTTAGTAAACAAGATTTGCCTGCTAACACCAGGCTTGTATATAGTACATATATAATATGAGCTGTGTTTTGTGTTTTGTCTTTTGAAGTGCACATATCTAAAACTAAACTAGAGCTTGAATATCAGTCTGCAGACATGCTAATTTATCAGCTACAGCATCTTTTCAAACTGCAATTAACGCAACATTGATGCGCTTGCAAGGGAATACAAACGGCCAATTCTGCTATGTCCGCCATAAAAACAGTGCACAAAACACACCTTACACTTTTAAAACATGCCTCTGTCCACAAAAAAACATGTCCACTGTGAACCCCTGCTTAGATAACTGACCACAGATGGCTATGGCACCTCCAGGGATCAAACTCATGAAAGGGCCAATGATTAGATGCCACTCGAGAGCCCCCAACTCAACCAAATATCTACCTTTCAAATCAACAGCATTGGTCAGGAAATCATCTGAATACCTGTTGACTGAAACATCTTTATAATAAAAGCTGTTGGTCAGTTGCTGAATTCCATCAGTAAATGTTACTGTGAAACTTGATTTTTGTAGAACATTAACGATTCCTTCGCACAAAGTGTAAATTAAGATGGGTGTTCTGTTGCAGAGGGAAACCAAGCTCATTGGTGATAATACATTAGCCTCACAGCGGTGGGGGCACAGTTTTTACAGGCATGATGGCTATGGAGAAAGGAAATTTAAAGGAAAGTGGAACTCTGTGTTTTTATTAGTCTGAAAGTTGGATAACTTCATTAAAACAGCTCTGGTAATACAATTTCTCATATCTGTCTTAACACTGCTTTAGAGTGCACTGGTTGTAGTTTTGAATCCACAACACAGCATGTCGGATATTTCAACTGTTTTTTCATGGAACTAAACAACTGCCCAACAGCAGTTAGAAGTTAGAACATTAGAAGTGAGTTTTGAGTTAAGTGTGGGGAAACTTGTAAAACAGTATTGTCCAGGTAATCGACAAAACGATACAGATATAGCACACAGAGATTAGACTGAAAAAAACTGTTGTTCACCAGCTTAAAGTCTGTCTCCACATCCTCCCTTCAGAAAAGTCATGTCATTTTCTCTGAGGCATGACTCCACTGAAGCCCGTGTGTACAGGGCCACAGATCAAACCTCTCCAGCACTTCAGACTGAAAGCTGCTGCTGATAGCAGCTCTTTCACTTGTCAGGTCACTCTTGGTTAAGCTTCTGAAGCCACTATCATCACTACCGGCTCTGTGGAGCGTCAAACGCCTTTAGAGATGGATGGCCTGCAGGCTTAACACCCAGAGAGAGAGAGAGACGCATTCCGGCCTGTTCCGCTATGCCTTCCATATGCCAGTAACCGAGCAGCGCCACTCAAAGAGAAGGCCTTCAATCTCCCCAGAAAATACACAAAAGCAACATAAGGGCTAATAGAGTAAATGGATTGTGCGTTCACCAGCAATGTGGGAACACAGGGAGAGCACTGTTGCCTGAAACTAATCATAATTACTTTTAAACCAATTATCAGAGCAACCAACATTTCAATTTACTATTGCACGCACTGGCTTTGTGGCCTGAATTCACAGTTCCCACCCTTTCTTACCTCAATGATGTACAGTACGATGTTCTTATAGAAGCAGTACAGGATACATTTAGCAACACGGTTATAGTTCCAGGCGCCATGGACCAGCAGGAGGTTCTTCAAGTACTTGAACTGAGAGACAGAGTGAGAGCGAGAGAGAAAGAGAGAGAGAGAGAAAGAGGGAGAGAGAATGTTAATGAAAGAGCAGTGTAGGAAATATGTCTCTGGGACTTCTATGCACAAAATCATCAAAATAAAATTTTTACTTAATCAGTGGGAATGCACCAATCGTCATTTTTTATGGCTGACTTTTATTTCTTTACAGCCGAATTGGCAGATGGCCAATGTTTTGGCTGATTTTATTTTATTTTTTTAAATTAAAAGCTTGCACTGTGTGGGATAAATGTATCTAAAATAAAAGGCAATTGGCTGTTTACAGCATTGTTGAGGTAGAAAGTTATTGAATTGAGATGCCACTGTTTGCAATAGCCTCTCGTATAGCGCATTTACTGATATCATTTAGAAGTTCATTTCTTTTCATTTATTACCTTTACTAATGATCTGGGGGGATTTTTTGCCCCAGTAAGTAAGGTTTTTCTGACTGGTGATGTAGTATAGTACAACAGTAAGTCACTATGTGATTCTGCTGTACACAATTACAATTACCCTGCCAGAAGAGAGGGAGAGAGTGAACCTGAGTTCTAGTTTTTGAAATAAAGGAAGAATGTTATCAGTGTTTGTCTGTAGACGCCAGGAACTGCACCGAAGGATGGCACCGGACTTTCTTGCATACATTCCTAAGCTTTTTCAGTCCCTGTGAGATTGGCTGAGACTTCATTTGGGCTGAGAAGTGTTGAAAAGCAGAGGAAGAAAGGCAGACTTTACTGCTCTCTCGGGGTGATGTGGACAGCAACAGGGAGAGCTGATGATTCAATTTTATGAAGCAAGCTGTGCACTTTCTGTCTTGTTTATGATATGCTGATAGCAGTGAGGAACTTGTGCAGGTGCAGAAGGTTCACTGAGATTAGTGACTGTAATGACCTTTGTTTGGCATATGGTACACAAACATGGCGCAAGTGAGCAGAACGTAAGCATGAACAAAGACATTAGTCATTGGTTGATTGGCAAGGAAATGAGGCAAGGGGCTCCGGTTCTCCTTCTCTTATCCAATACAACTTAAAATGTCACTAAGCAGTAAACATTGTTTGCGTTAAGCTAACAGAAGACCAGTTGGATGGAGCCTGGATCAGCCGGGTCGGATGTACAGGGGGAAAAAGGAAAACGGTTTTTAGGGAGAAGAAGCTGGCTGACCTCTGGAACTCAGGGAAAAGAGCTGTTGACAGACACAGAGCAGTGGAGTACAAGTGTATGGTCCTGAGCTTAAATTGTGCTGATCTCTGTAGGGCCCCAGAAGAAAGCTGAAGTAGGACTTTCCATTGCTTTTATGCACTGATCCAGAACCTGCTCCTGATCCTTAAATGCTTATGTTGAACAGTACAGAAGAACAACAATTCTGCTCTCAGACCAGCGTAGAAGATCGAATTCCAGAAAGAGCATAAACAAGACTCTTGCCATAACATACTTGGGCCAAACACACCTTTGTAGTACGGATGTGCGGCCCCATATCAATACCCTTTAATGTAGCCCTTTCTTTGCTCACTATAAACATACACGGCACAACTCTGTAGAGTGGAAATCTGAGCAGGACCGACGACCGTTCAACCATTTCAAATACAATGTCTGACCCAGGTACTTGATACCTACACGCCACCAGCTACTGCAACTGGAAACTTTCTCCAGTCATCCAAAAACCAGGTCTCCTGAGTGACGTTAATTTAAAAGGTGAAAAAATGGGTTAAAATAACAGACCAAACTCAAAGTGAGCTAATGCAGATGAATGTTATATGGCATGTAAAGGAAACTAGAGCATTCTTCTGGTCCACTAAGAAGTCATTACATCATGCAGAATGAAGAATCCAGTTCAGATGAGCTCTGCGATCCGGCTTTCATTTTTTTGTGCCCATATTCACTTCCATGAGGGTTGTAGTGGCACTTAGGCAGTGACTGGACCCTTTTCAGAGAAATATGATGCCTTAAATTTGTGAACAGTGCATCTAGCAGGGCCCGTGGCACTCTGAAAAACACTATTGTGACAAGACACTGTTGGAGTAGAGCATGAAATATGAAATGAAGGACAGCAGTGAAAAATGGTGTTGACAGACAGTCATCTTTGACACATGAAACGCTGTACTTTTGTTACGAGCACAATGCTGCTCTCGCAGTATCAAACCTGTGAATTACAGCACAGCAAGATTAATTAAGTTTACATAAACGCAAAGGGATCCATTTCACTGACAGTAGAGATACGGGTAACGGAGCACTGGAGCTATGTAAACTGACCTCGCTGACCTCATACAGCCTTCCAGATTCTGCCCACCTGTTCACCTCTGACCCCAGACTTTAACCTTTGACCCAAACTACAGAATCCAGACTCCAGTCTTGGTCGACTGGGATTTGTGTTATGTCAGCACAGATAAAAGTGTGACAGATTGAGAACAGACTTCTCAGGATAAATGAAAAGAAATAGATTTTTTGCCATCTATTATCTTATATATACAGTACTATTACATGGAGACAGCCGTGTTCATTCTGGAAATGATCCTAGTGGCTAAAACATACAGGTAGCATAGTGGGTAATACCTCTGGTCTCCATCCTGCAAACTGGGCTTCGATCCCCGACTTGGGCACCCTCCACTATACCCATAAGCATAAGGGAAAGACTCCTAATACTACCTTCGCCTACCTCTGTAAAATGATCAAATTGTAAGTCGCTCTGGATAAGAGCATCTGCCAAAATGTCATAAATGTAAATGCAGAAACATTTCACCTCATCTCTTTTGGTTTCAAGGGATGTCTTTAATTTTTTTTTGCACACAATTCCATTCAGAGTGATTTGAAGCCCCAGGAAACCTAAATCTGTGTTTTCTTTCTAAGCATGTTGATCATGCTCTTGTGGGCACACAATATACAATATACAAGGTATATCTGTCATTTTTTATAATTGTCCATTGGTAATGTTTCAATGGCAGAAGTATTCTGCCAAAATTCTCCTCTCTTGACTTGAGTTGGACAGTCCTAATCTTGTGTTGTGGGTACATAAGCAGTATCCTCAACAATCACAGCGCTGATGTGGTTTGCCCTGCCCACACCGTTTTAAAAAAGACACATTCCCCTACTGTCTCTTTCTTTTTGGCAAGCTAGTAAGAACGTCCATTTGTCCTTTCGTTCGGTCAACACGTCTGCATTCCCAGGATGCACATCCAGCAGTAAAGCCAATAAGAACCTTATCGTCTTTAAGATGTCGCCATAACAAAAGATAATATGTTTTTGTGAGCTATGAAGATAGTGGGGTCTACAACATGACCTGCGAATGTAGAGCCTGTTTCACTCATTTCTCACTGCTTGCGCTGTTGTGTTTAGCTTCAATAGTTTAGCAGGCTGGGAGCCTTAGACTTCGCTAAATGTTTAATATTACACTGAATTTTTGTATCATAGTATTTCAGTATCACAATTTTTAAATAATTTACACTGTGTTCCCTTAGTATATGGAGTGTCTGTTAACCACAAATCCAAACCAATTTGTAAACATAGCTACACAGCTTACACTTCAAGACTATAAATCATACACATATTTTTTGTGTTAACTTAGTAAAGTGAAGTTAGTGTTAAATTACTAAAAAACAGTCTAATTCAGGTACAATAAGCTTCACCAAACATTTTCAAATTCAGTTGAATTCAGGACCTGGAATTCAGTTTCTGATTCTGTGATTTGTAATCACAAGTACTTAATTGAACTGTTACTGTAAATTATTATTATTATTATTATCAAACCTACCAGTGATTACAAAATCCAGAGCTGAAAATTTGAAGCCCTCTGTGCTAGACTGTCAAATACTAAAATAAAATAACTGCAGGAGTGTTATGGAAGTTCTATCGTCTCCCACCTGTGCGATGGAGTAATCTGAAGAGTTGGCGGCCTGCAGTCCCTCGTTACCAGAGATGCCGACGCCCACATGAGCGGTTTGGATCATGCCCACATCATTGGCTCCATCGCCGATGGCCAGTGTGATAACCTTCACCTGCTTCTTCACCATCTCCACCACCTCGGACTTCTGCAGAGGAGATACTCTATACACATAAAACACAAAACACAAAACACTATTAGTGCTTCAGAAGATTAGACACAGTTACCAGACTGAGGGCACTTCAACTACCAGCAAAAACAAAACACCATAATGTTCTTAAAAATTTTAAACATGTAAAATCTCAACTTAGACCATTTTTACATGCTTTTCAGTTAATGATCTTAAGGCAATGAAGCTGTTTAAATGCAAAAATCATAACCACTTAAGCAGCCAGCGACATAATTTCTTTTTTATGAGATTTAAGCAGAACCATGGTCTGCTGTCTGAGTTAAGGGTGGCCAGGCTGGAATGTGGTTCAGCATCAGCGCTGTGGTAATTGGTCAGTCAAGGTATTAGATTAAGATGGCATAACAGCCATGTCAAACTGCAGTACCATCATTCTTAACTTTGAATTTAAAATGAACCCGCGAAATATTTACAAATGATTAGTTCTCTTCAGATAAGGTCATAAATGTCTTTTTTTTAATTAGTGAATGATGATCTGTTCGCTAAAAAATGTTCTACAGTGAGTGTTTTGGTCACCGGACAAAGAAAGAAACAGTTCATGAACAGTAAGAAGGGCTACATAAACAAAACTCAAAACGTAAAAAAACAGTTAAATTCAAAAAAGGCCCAATAATCATGGCATGATTACGCAGTCAGTAATTAAATCTTTACAAAGTTGGCCTAAACTTTTAAAAATACAAACCTACCAAATGGCTACAGGCATCGACATGTGGTTCTAGAAAACCCTTAAACTGTAACAGCACCTTTACATAACGTACACTGGGCCTCATTCACCAAATGTTCTTAAGAAGAAATTTCTTCTTAAAACCCACTTACACAGTTTCCACGAAGGTAACATGAGAACAATTCTCCGGTTTAAGAACATGTCATGAATCTGACATAGACCTTTTCTTAAGCCCTTTCTCAAGAACAAACTTAAGAAAAAAACTTAAGATATTGGTGAATGAGGCCCACTGTTTTTTATTGAAGCAAACGTTCCTCTATAACAGCGTTCCACAGAACCCATTTTGGCATTATTTTGAAGAGTGTAATTAGAAGTTTGGCTGGTTGGCCAGGTTCACTGAAAGGTTGGACAGTAGCTATAGACTTCACCAGACTTCAAAAGCATTTCTGCTCACTAGCAGTTCATGGTTCTTTAGTTTCCTGGGGTTCCATGAGGTGTGGATGAGATGGGGATGGGGGTTTGAACTCAACCCTTACAGAAGTCTTCAGGGTCATAGAGGGGAGATGAGACATACAGTGGTGTCAGATTTGTGGCAGTGCTGGTGAAGAAGACACAGCTTCATGTTTCTTACTCTGGTGAGGACCAGAGGCCGTCTGTCACAGCAGGATCTGATGGATTCTTCTCTGGCTGCCACTGTAATCCCTGCTGACAGCCATTTTGATTTCTCTGCAGTGTCTGGCTCTAGTTCCTGGAGAAGATTCTGGCCTGTGATATGATGGATCTGTCCCATCCTTTAAGAGTTCCTGAAACTTGTACTCCACAAGTTCAAGTTCACTATATCTTACCCAGCATATCATCAGTGATACACTGACACTCTGACGTCAGAGTTGTGACCTCAGGTCCACGCGCATGTCCACAGTGGGCATAGTAAGATGGATCAGCATGTGGAATTGGAGCTTTCTATGCTACTGTTTTCTATGACTATACAAAAGAAGCACCATGATGCCTTTACTGTTGGCTACACTTAGTGTAATGCAATGGAATTCAGCATTGCAACAGCAATATAATTCAGATTGCTATTTATTAGTTTCAATGAACAATGTAATAGACAACAATGAAAGGCTCAAGTGTGAAGTGCACTTCTATTTATTTTGTTGCTGTCAAAAAAAAAGTATCTCCATATTTTTAGTTTTCTGCATAATTTGAGCTCAGCAGTGGCCCTTTGCATTGTGTGATAATTTCACGATGATTGGATCAATAGAAATGCTCCAAAAATGCTTCAAATAAAATCTCTGTACATTAACTTACTTACCCATTTCCAAAAAAGTTGGGACGCTGTGCAGAATGTAAATAAAAATAGAATGCAATGATATGCAAATAATGTACAGCATAATTTTAAAGGAGAATACTACAAAGACAACATATCAAATGTTGAAATTGAGAAAAATGATTGTTTCATTAAATTATTAATGTTCAGCATTAATGGTGCCTTCACAGATGTGCACGTCACCCATGCCATGTGCACTAATGCACCCCCATACCATCATGAACACTGGCTTTTTTCTGTGCACTGATAACAAGCTAAGTGGTCTTTAGCCTGGTGGACACAGTGTCCACGATTTCCAAAAAGAATTTCAAATGTTGATTCTTCAGACCACAGGACACTGTTCCACTTCCCCTCAGCCCATTTTAAATGAGCTCAGGCCCAGAGAAGGCAGTAACATTTCTGGATTCTGTTTATATATGATTTCTTCTTTGCGTTTTAGAGTTTTAACTTGCATTTGTGGATGCAGTGACAAACTGTTTTCAAATATTTTTCAAAAAACAATAAAATTTCTCCATTTCAACATTTGATATGTTGTCTTTGTACTATTTTCAAAGAAATATAGGGGTTAAATTATTTGGACATCATTGCATTTTGTTTTTATTTACATTTTGCACACCTGTTTTGGAAATGGGGTTGTACATTGAAGTAAAAAAAGTTTTTGCCCACTTCCACAGAGTAAGCATTTTGGAGATACTTAATTTTCTTTGGACAGTGACTGTGTGCTTGTTCAAAATGCTAGTTTGTGATAAAGGTAAAAATAAAACCTAGGATTTTTTTTGCTTTGTTAGAGCATGTTGTTGACATACCAACATGACAGCACTGAGAAATGATGTCAGGTGAAAGCAGCTATTTCTGCTATTTAATTTACTCTTTTGATTTGATAATGTGATATTTTAATGCTCCAGACTGTCCTCAAGTCACATGCATACGTATGTCACGTACAATAGCAATCTACAAGGCTTTAGGTTTCATAGAGTTAAAGCAGAGGAGCAGCAAATCTGCAACCAGCAAACCGAAGTCAATGCAATTTGAAAATTTCCCCCACTTTAAAATCTCTGTGACCGATACGTCACAGAAAAGTATAATACCTCAGTACAGTGGAATAGTTGCTGCAGCACTCACAGCTAAGCTTGGTCCTAGTTCTTCCCAGGCCAGCTATAACACAAATGCCATTTAATAACCACAAAACAACCGTACAAAATAAAACTCGAGTGTCATTAACCAAAATATCATGCTAACTTCTCCAGGTTGTTTCTAACTCTTGTTATGAACATCGTAGGTGCATTATGCAGGATCCAAAGTTGCATTATCAATTTGGAGGTGATACTATCAATTTTGCAAGCAACTCCTTTCAGGGACCTAAACAAAACTACAACAACACTGACTACAAAGTCAACAAGTATTTTTTATCTAAGAACCACATCGCTGAAAGACACCTGTCAGAATACATGGCTGCTTTTGACCTAAAACACACATTGCAAACTTCTTAGTGTTGGTGCACATAAGTCACACTGCCTGCTTACACAACCCCAGGAATGACATCACTTACTACTGCAGTTAAAGGAGAGCCCTTATGAGTCAGGGCTGCTGATGTCCTTGGGCAGTGTGTGTATGACTAAGGTGAGTAAAAGCAGATCAGAATGATTACATCATGGACCACATAATGGCCGTGGCACCTGTGGTCTGTGTGCTGTTGTTGGAGAGTGACACTGATCTGTGGCAGAGCCTTTTTATGCTTGGCCAGTTTATCTGAGTGCTTCCCGCTCTGGTTCTGACTTGGCACACACATTCACACACACACAATCTATACCTGTCTGATTCTGGGGTTAAAGTACTGTTGTAAAAATAGCTAAATTGCTGCTTTGAGGGACTGTGTGTTGTAAAGGTTGTGACCTGGAGTGGAGGTGATTTGTTCTTTAAATAAGGGGGTGACATTTTCCCTCTAATTGTCCATCAGTCACTTGTTGTTTTTGCAGTCTGGAGTAATAGTGGCTGATGCAGTCAGCTCTCTGTGGAGCAATAAGGATTATTACCGTACAAAGCCCTGCTTCAATCACCGGCCTTTTAAACACAGCCAGTAATTTTAACACCGCTTACAATTCCATAGGTGTAAGGGGAAGAAAGTGTGCCGTCAGTGGAAAAGCATTTGTTTCTTTGGGCTATTACTGCAAGCAGCAGTTTATTTTAAGTTGAAGGAGATCTGTTTATTATACTTAATAATGGACATTGTAATATGACTGGAAAAGTTTGGGAAAAGTAAGAACTCTCGCGCTTTTCAATTCTAAGCTCATGAATTTAAGCATAATAGATGCATGGAGCAGGTCATTTATCTAAATTGAACCCATAACTAAGGACGCACCAAACTTTTAGGCACTGAAAATTTCTGGTCAATATGGACAAAATGGCACTTTTGATTTTTGTCCAAAAGAAGAAAAAAAAAAAAGCCAAAAATGCTATGAAGTGTCAAGTCTTTAAGTGTCTAACACTGTACAAACCATTATATTGGCAGTAAAAATCAAAAATAATCATCAAGAATGATGATCAGCATGGACGCATTCACCTTCGAGCGGCAGCAGATAAACTGCCACATGGTCTGTACTAGGGCCTTCTGCACTACAGGTTTGATACCACTTATAAACATGAGAGAATACAGCAAACTACAGAAGTGGAGAGTCCCTGCGAGCATGTAGACGCCACCATAGAAACCATGAAAAACAATCACAAATGACAGTGTAAAAATGTAAAGTGTAACAAAAAAAAATTACGGAACTCATTGCCTTGGATGATGAACCATTCTTTGTTGCCATGGACAGTGGGTTTAGTTGCACATACTTTGGGCTTTATACTATTATAATTTCACTAAGTTTATTTTATGCAAACTTTTTTTTTATTTTGTTTTTTTGAGCACAATGTGTCCTGAACTTCAGTTTTGGTTTCGTCCAAAATATTTTATTTCTGTACATAAACCATGGTGGTTATGAGTGATGCTGGTTTAAGTGAATCCTCAGTTATTGTGCCCTTCAGATGAGTTCCTTTACCTGCAGCATATGACGGCCTTGCAGGACAGTGCGAGGTCAAGGAAGTACTGACGTGCTCCGAAGGTCAGCGCATACTTCAGCGTCTTCCCATCAATGATCAGCGCAAAGTCATTCTCCTTATGCAGAGCATCTCCCAGCATGCCGCAGTGGTGGCTCAGAGTCTCCCTTGTCCCCTGTACACACACAAACAAAGCAACCTTTATTTACAGCCACAATTCAACCCTAGTAACTTATGGTCATATAAAATACCACAAACACAGTATTACAATAGTGTCATTGTATCACAACAATGTCATAATAGTAATAATGCAATATTCAAAGTAAAATGTTATTTAATGCCATGGGTTCAAAATCAAGTTTATACAATTTCCTCTTACACCAATAAAGTCAATCAGCACAGACAAGATTAGTGTTGAAAGTTTACTTCTTTAGTTTAGCATTAGACTATGAGGTTAATGTAGTTATAAAGTAATGGAAGCTTACATCCCACAAATAAGCACTGGGCATACTGCAAGAGTAAATCATCACACACTTGCCTCAAACTGTTGAGTTGTTAAAGGGTCTTTTTTGTAGTTTGATGTAGTTTGTAGACAAGTTTCAAAAGTACCATATACTTCCCAGTCTACATAGTCCATATATTTCAATACGAAAAACAGCCCATTTTGAATTTACTGTTTTGTGATATCATGAACACATTTCCATATGTCTGCCTATTCAGCCTACAGTAATTTAGCCCCACCTATCCACGTTGAAAGTTATAAGATGTGTTTAACTGGGGCTGTTTAATTTTTATTCATTTCTTTTTCAACAACTTTCAACAGGGCAGCCAATCAGAACAGAGGTCAGTTAACATCAGTTAATACATAACATAACATCTCTGTAATGGAAATTCACGTACCAATCTGTGTCACTATACAACTACTGTTCACCGTTCTTGTCAATGATAAGCTTAGGTTTACTATCTGCATCACCCCCTGTCTGGACACACCACTACTCTCATACTGAAACAAACACAACCACAGCAATACCACTAGGCATATCCTTTGAAATCTACAGTGTGTTTATTAGGCTCTCTGCATGTTCACTCACAGCCAAAGCTTGGCTATCCATAGCTACAGTGTCTCCTTATGACTGTAAAGCTATAAATCTTGGGATAAAGCGCTGATAGATGATTTCAGTACTGTAAATCATGATTTTACTCCATCTTGATGACAATGCACTAATAAACATCCCACTGAGGCAGGGATAATTTTACAATTTTGCCCCATGCCAGTGTAATCAACCTCACTGCGTAACATGAAGGACATCTCATGAAGCCTAAGAATGTCATTTTAGCTTGAGACGGAGTTCAGTTTATTATTAATGTAATTATGTTCAAAGAGAGAGGCTGATGAGAGGAAAGGATAAACATACATATGGCACGCTTCATTTAGCAGAGCGCACCACTGAACCCTGCAGTGATGGTTCGTTTGAAAGAGCTCAACACTCTGAAAGGCTTTCACCATGAATTACAACAGCATGGGAATCTACCCTGAACACTCACAAAGCTGAGAAATGTTCCCTCTTTCTTTCTTCTTCTCTCATTCATCCCTTTTCTCTCCGGTTATGTGTGTGGATATCTCTGCGAGAATGTTCATAAAAAGCACTGTCTTGTGTATAAAGTTGAAGATGATTGGTCTGAGATCGTTTTTACAGGATTGTCTTCCACCAGCTTTTCACATCTTGTATTAGCATGTATTTTCGGCGATCGGATCGCATTCAGATTTCATGTGACTGCATGAAAAGTCAGGTGTAAACTAGGCTTCGACACTGAATGTAGTGTTCCAGATTGCCTCTGCATTATTAGGCTAAATTTCCCCACTTGAACTCAACACAGTGGTGATTAGTGTAAGAAGATATAATTAGAAGGTCCATATCCTACATTTTTCTTGTACTTTGTTTTTTGGCTTTTTTTTTTTTACTTGTTTGTAAGGTTTGTAAAAGTTCACGCACAAAAACAGCAGTAACTCATTTTTACTTGATCATTTTTCAACTTCTCTTCATTGCTTAGAATTAAACAGACTGTTTTTGTTACTGTGCCTTGTATTTTGCCTCATTCAGAAAGCTTGAGGCTGAAACACCCCTAATAACTTCAGCATGAATAGGCAGGCTAAACTGATATAGGCTGAACGGGTGGATATATTTAAATGTATGACAATGAATTCAAAATGAGCTGTCTTTGCAGATTAGTTTCTGCATGTGACTGAGAGCAGTATGCTCTAAAACAATATTTTTCTAGATATTAGACATTTTTTATGAAAAAATGTGAAGAAAGTTTCCAATGATATAGACCCTTTAAGCAGCTCTTGTGATTTGAAAACTGCACTCTTTCCATTCAGACAAAAAACATTGACACTTTCTGTTTGAATTACGATCGAATTACTCAAAGCACATTTGGAGGTGGTCAGAGGCGGCTCTTGAACACATTTAACACAAGTGTAAATGGAATGCGTTTTCTGCATTCACATACAATTATGTAAGCTCATGTAAGCGGAGTAGCAGGTAAGATGATAAACAAGGAACGCCAAAAGGAGGATTCCTGAGGCTGGAGTTACCCGAAAGAGTCATCCCAGTTTTAATTCTGTTTAAAGCTGTTGAAAGCATCCAAGCCAAGCTGGTCAATTTGTACCAGAACGGAAAAAAGTTTACAAATGTAGAATGGAAACAACAATGTTTGTGATGATGCACTTTTTACATGTTAAAGTCAAATCCAACCTCATCTAGTTACACTGGGGACACACTTTAGCCGAAGCATACGTAGATACAATCTGGACATGAAACACATGTTAATGAAAGGTTAATTAAAGTAATTTTACTGTAGCATTTTAAAGTAATTGACAGCTTAGCATAACTAGTTGAAGTGGGTTTGCTCACTTTAATATACTTGAAATGTGGACTGTGTGACTGTATTATCAACGAAAACACAAAAATTTGATCATAATCATAATAGCAGACACCTAATATTAAATGACTTGGATTGGGATTGATCCTGGATTTTAACCCCTGCAGCCTTGCCTTGAATCTGTTGTTGATGGTAAAGGTTTTGAATATCAAAAACAGTTCTTTTAATGAACTACTTGCCTTTAAGCAACAGTGTGTTATTGTAAGGTTTTGGGATAGGCAGGAGGATTACTGTGTGTTTAGTTTGGGAATGCTGCTGCACTTTATTTATTCTCCACAAAAGAGCCAAACGATTCCTGCTCTTCACGCTCTCAAATGACAGGCTGCTCGTAAATCATGGGGAATCCTCAAAGGGAGCAGAGAACTGATACACACTAACTCAGGGATCTGAAACAGTAGCACAAGTGAGAGAGAGTGTGCAACTGAAAGAGTGAGAGAGCGAGAAACAGTGGCTAAGAGACCCAGACTACAGTAATGATTCCTTTTACCTTCTACTACGTATGGGAGCACCTTCATGCCTCACATCAATTTGAAAATTAGTTTTTTAACATAAATCCCCAACAAGGTCTACTTATCTTGCCCAGTGTGCATTTGAAACATTGCCCCCTACATGCAGCACAACCCAAACCACATTTCAGTGATACAGAAAACCATGCAAACCCATTAACCAGGTCTGCTGAACAGTTTGAAGCATCACAAAAGGGTAAACAGCCAAAACAGTTACTTTTCTCAACAGAATATGTGTAAAAGAGCATGATACATTTGTTTCCCCTCAGCAGCTTTCTGATTTGTGATTGGGCAGTCATTGAAAGCCTTGTATACGTACGGGATAACGTTTGCAGCATGAAATGTTTAACTAGCATGTAGTTTTGTTTATAACAGCAATGTGGAATTTGAGTTGTCATTGTTCATTTCACTGTAATTTGCTGAAAAGGTAGGCTTGGCACTTAATCTCTAAACACCCCACTGCTTCTGTGCCACATCTAGGACATATTACTACTCTCTACTATGAGTGTTGAAATGAAATGCAAGACAGGCTGGATTGCTCACGCCATGCAAAGGTAGCACGTGAGAAACAGGTCTTACTTCATCACTACTGTTGCCAACTGTATTTAACTGAAAGACAAAATTGCGTCGATTTTTTTCATGTGTAAACGTGTACATTTAAACAAAACAGTCACTTTTTTAAAGCACTATGGCAACTACATAACTTCAGATGTCTAGACATCTGTGAATGTGTGCCAGTGTGGGCCTTTGTGAAAACGCACCTAGATAGTTACAGAGTCTGACTAGGTTCATACACGTGCTGGGAGTCCACAGCCACCAATAACACTGTTAGACCTTACAGCTTCAGCAGACATATTTCTCAGTTCAGTTCAGCTCTATTCAACTCAGTTCTACAGAGCAGCCAGAACAGGGCTGTGTGTGTGTTGGGGGACAGATGCCTTGGGGCAGTGAGATTGCGCCTCAGGGAACCACTGAGCCCCTCCTGGCATAACAAGCCCCTGAAACCTAAGCTCAAAGGAAATATTTGGAGAGAGCGGCCTCAGATTTCACACAGAGAGAGAGACAGAGAGAGATCACTGAGCAAGTCAGTGACTAGTGCAGCTGTGGGGACTTCTCTATGAGAGTGTGGTCATTCCTGATGAAGGCCTTAGCACTGAGTGTGCGAGTGTGTATGTTAGGGGTGTAAATCTGTAACCTCACAATGATTTGATCCACACACACACACACACACACATATATATATATACATACATTTATACACGTATGTGTGTGTATGTGTGTGTGTGTGTGTGTATATACACATGTATATATATATACATATATATATATACACATATACATACATACATATATATATATACATATATATATATATACATATATACATATATATATACATATATACATACATATATACATATATATATATATATATATATATATATATACACACACACACACACACACACACACACGTATATACAATTTATTTACTTATTTTTTTTTATTATGTGCCTGGACACATTACCTGATTGTTTGAGAACAAAGAAGCCAGGCAGTTGAAACAAAAGATTTTTATATTCTGGACCTGAATTTACCACCTCTGATAACTGCTGTTATTTTATTCAATAGTAACTTGTGCAGTGTAGACTGAAATTTTATTAGCTGGACTAATGGAGCCCAGTCCTGGTCCTCGATAGATTTAGATTCAGATTTAACTTTGTCA